CACTCTCTTGTGACATGCCTCATCCCCTGTAGGTTCTGCCTCGAGCACCATCTGAGGGCCAAACCATCACTGTATGGCTTTGGTGCGGGAATTAAGACCCAAACTGTAACACTTACTGTTGGCTTGAATGTGACAGGCTGAGGGCCAGAAAGGAGCTTATGGCAGGAGATAAGACTTTGGGAAGCATCTTTATATTTGGAGAATTTAGTCTGTCAGAGCAGATAAAATCTATATAAGCACAAGAACATGATCAGATGTAGAATAGGGTCCTCAGAAGGAAGGACATATAAATATAAGCAGGAGAAATAGCTAGAGCAATAGAACAAAATACCAAAAGAATATATCAGAAAGTAAAGTTTGAGGTAAGACAGAGCAAGAATCATTATATATCACGCTACACTGTGTTATCATTATACTATACTATATTCTATTCATTTTTTGTGGTATAGTAAGTCTCATACTTATGAATTCCATCCAGCAGAATTATTTGTCTTATACAGTATACCTGTGAAAGTTTGCAGCACAAATGGTTATAAGTACAGTGCCGTCACTCTACAGAGCTACATCTTCATCTTTTTTTTTTTCAGTTAAATTTTGTTTTGTTTTTTTGAAACAGGGTCCTGCTAAGAAGCAAAGTTGTCTACACTGTGCTTGAACTTAAGACCCTCCTGCCTCAGCCTCCCAGTGTGCTAGGATTACAGGTCTTCACCTGGTGGCACTGTCACACTCACCTCAAAGTGTGCAATTTCAACCTCAAATTAAGAGGCATAAAAATACATAAAGATCAACAAAAAATAGGGCCACCTTAAAATTCTTTTTTTTTAATTGAGTCAGGTCTAATGAGGTATAATTTTCATGTAGAAAATCAACCTTTTAGTTTGTAGTCCTCTTAATTTCTTGTTATGTCAGCTTTGTTTATTATTCATTGTCTTTATTTTGATAAAATGTACATAACTTGCAATTTTTTATTTGATCGAGTACATTCATAAAGTCATACAAACATCACGACCTATGTTTAGAACATTTTCATCATCTTAAGCAGTAGGTCTGTACTCTTTACATAATAACTTCTTTTTCCCATACCCACATGAATTTTGAGAAATGCACATAGACCCACAGGCCGCCGAAAATGTGCTTTCCACTTAGTTGTAGCCATGTGAAGGGACTCGTGGAAATCTGTTGTCTGCAGCCTTTTTTTCTTTCCTTTCTTTGCTTTTTTTTGGTGGAACCGGGGATTGAACTCAGACCCTTGCGCTTGCCAGGGAAGTGCTTATTCTACTGAGCCATCTCCCCAGGCCATGTCTACAGCCTTTTAAAACTTGTTTTAATTCACAATTTAACATTTTAAAGCAGCTTAATGAATTATCAGTTAAATGCTGCTTGAAGAATGATTGATGTTCAATGCACCTACTCTATGCAATAATTTAAAAATAAATTCAGGTGTTTGTGGGGGCAACAGCTGTAGTTACCAGTCACATAAAACACATTTCTGCCGCTTCTCTCTGATCACACTGCAAGCGCTCACTCTGGCAGCACATGTACTATAATCAACTATTTTGCATAATGAATGAGTGTTCAAATGGTAATGAGGGCTCAAGTTACAATTTTAAATTGGAGATGATATGTGCATATTAAAATTTATCTTGATAGTCTCTAGATATTTTCCTGAAAAATAGAATCACACTTTTAGAATCATCCCAAATGTATCATTAAAGCATTGTTTCTAGACTAATCATTAACAATTTTCTATAATTCACCTGCCTGATGGCTCAAAAAATTATATTTGTTAACTAATACTCTTTTCTTGTTTTTAAAGTTATCAACAGATACCTTCCAAAAAAGTAGAATGTGGGAATCCATTATACTGTGCTGTCAGTAAATAATACTACATTACAGGAAAAGTGGTTGCAAGAGCTCTGGAGCACTCAGGCTGGTCCCAGGATCCAGGATGCACACATCCTGGACGTTAGGCAACGACTGAAGCTGCCCACGTTACTCTGTGCTTTCCTCTTTCCATCTCTGTCTCCAAGGAAACTCCCTTGCCCAGGCTGGCCTGAGTGGTGGCCATGGTCCACTCCCACTCAGGAGTGCTGGACAGGGTGTGCTCCTTTTTCCTGGCTGGAAGGCAGCAAGTTTCCAAGTCTGTGCACCTGGGTGTGGGCTGAGCCTAGGAGGCTCCAGCTGGGACCCACGTGTGGTCCAGGGCACAGTGCTGTCCCTGAGGGAGCGCATACACAAGTGTAGCCCCACCGCCTTCCCAGGATGCAGGTGTGTGTGTGTGTGTGTTCAGTGGTCCTGGTCATCCCAGTCTCCCACAGCCTCCTCACAAGGCTGTCAGGCAGGTGTGTGTGTTTATGGGGCATGCACATGTGTGTGAGCTTGCCCGTGTGCACGACCATGAATGCACTGGTACCTGGAAGTGAGCGGACACTTGCAGAGCCAGGACCCTGGTATGCTTGCGTGGCAGCAGGGTGTGAACCAGGAACCATACAGGAAGTTAAAGCTGATAGTCCGTGAACATGGCAATAGCAAAGAAGATTTTGAAAAACTAAGAAAGATGTCTGAAGTTGATATTACTTGCTTTAAGGTTAAAGACCGGTAAATACTAATTACTATGAAGTGGAAAAGCATATTAAAACACATAATATGTCATTTCACTGGGTTCTGATTTCATTCCTTTTATTTGTTATCTTGTGCTCTTTGTCTTTTTCACATTATTAGGTGCATGCGTCTAGTAATTCCTCAGTTTCTTAAATGATATTGTGGAGAGTGTAAAAGTTCAGTCTCTTAATAGGACAAGAATTATCAAGAGTAAAGGTTAACTCTTTCCACACAAGCAGAGCAGGCCAAGTGCACAGGAGCCTCCAACAATTTTCTATCTTTTAAATTTCATGGAAATTAGATGTGTAATCCTAGCACTCGGAAGGCTGAGGAGAGAGGATCACTATGAGGCCAAGGCCAGCGTGGATTGTATAGTGAGTTCAAGACCAGCCTGAACTACATACTGAGCCCCAGTCTCCATAAGAAAAACCAGACCAGGGGCCGGGGAGATGGCTCAGTGGAATAAGCGCTTCCCTGGCAGGTGCAAGGGCCTGAGTTCAATCCCTGGTTCCGCAAAAAAAAAAAAAAGAAAAACCAGACCAGACCAGACCAGACCAGACCAGAGACCAGACCAGAGACCAGACTGGACTGGACCGAACCTGCATAGAACTATGACTAAAATGCAAATTATTGTGCTTTTAACGCATCCTTCAGTGGATCTCTGCCATTGAGAAGAAACACCCAGCCATGAAGAGCTGTGAAAATAAAATAAAATCTGAAAATTCACATTCATCAGATATCTGCCAAATTCTTACCTGAATTTAAAGTGGCTGGAATTTCATAATCTTATTTTAAAAACATACTTTACGTGTTAGATATGTTAGCAAATGAGTAGAAGAGATAAGCAGCAGTGGAAATACTTCAGTGTGAAGGCAATTTTAAGATTTCTAAATAAATTCAGTACAAATAATTTAACAAACATACAGAGAAGCTGTCCCCCTATTGATTGGGGATAGTGTTATACCAGTTTTGGGGTCTTAAAAGTGCTCTAATCCCCTCCACACCGTGGTTGGTGTGGTCAGTGTGGACCCACACAGGGCCTGGCCTCCCCCCGTGGGCCCTCGAGGCCAGTGGCCAGGAAGGGAGCTGGGGACCAGGAGCGTCTTGACTCACCCACCACACCTTCCTTGCTTCAGCTCAGTGACTGAGCTGTTGGTGCCAATTCATCCTCCATTCAAGGAAACATCCAGCATGTGAGATGCAGTCAGCACCAGATAGTGAGAAGCACCCCGGAAGCCTGCTCTGCAGCACTGCAGAAGCACCAGGTCCCTTGCCTGGCTCCAGCTCCTGGCAGCGCTGCAGATGCTGAGGGTTTCCATGTCCCAGATTTGCATCTCGAGCTGAAATGTCTTCCCTGAGAACCACGACAGTTACATCACATAAACCTTTTGGGGATAAAGAAACCAGTGCTGAAAAGCAGCAGATGCATGTAGCCTCTTGAATCTGACTTCTTTCACTTAGCCAAATATATGTCCACTGAGATGATGGTGTCATTTTTTTAAAATTTTAATTAATTAATTAATTAATTAATTTATGTGTGTGTGTGTGTGTGTGTGTGGCCAGCTCAGCCCACCAGGGGGCGGGGCTGGCTGGCACGTGGTGCTGGGGGAT